CCCTTCCTTCGTCCCCTCAAACCCTTTGACCCTTGATTCTCCCTTTTCCCCATCCCCTCCGTGACACGTGACTAACCACTACCCTCACCTGTTACGTTGCCAGGGGACGAACGGTAACGAACTTGATCCTCACTTGGTGGAAAGCGAGGATAAGGGAAGGGCAGCCGGTCCCTTGTGCCGCCAAGAAGCAAAGGTACCAAACTGATTGTGAGCATCAAAGAAAGCGGAAAGGAGTGCTGTTTTGCAACAAGGTCAGTTTTGACTCAACCATCCTCCCGGACTGCATGACTAAGGCGACTGCATGGCTTGCTTATGGGAAAGGGAAGGGAACTTATAAGGGGAGTTGGAAGGCAAAGGGGACTTAGGATTGCGGGAAGGGTTGATGTGTTGACCCCAATGGGGATTGTATTTTGTCATTTTTCTCGTGTGGTCTTGCGCAGGTGAGTAGCTTGGGACGATTTGGACGAGGCTGGATCCACGGATGAGGACCAGGGTGGGAGATTGGCTAAGGAAAGGACTTGGACCTGGCCTAAGCCGTGAATGCGGGCTGAGTCGAGGCCGGGCGCTTGGGCGGATGGTTGATGCATGGACTTGACTTGTACGGGGGTTGCATGGAATGTCTGTCTCGTGTGCAATGCGACGCCTGAAAAGACTAAGGGCGGTCTTGGATAGGTGGGTGTGATGCTAGTGGCTCTGGCAAAAAGAATATATAGCGGCTAGGGGTCTGGGCGCCGCCGCCTCACCCCAAGGATGCCGTCGAAGTTGTCTTGAGCTACTAGGCTTAGTGAAAGGGTGCGTGGCCCAGTGGATGACGCTTCGTCTGCGCAAAAGAAGAAGACGAACTCTCAACGAACCCCCTGGACTGCTTGTGTATTGGAAGGAGCAATTGCCTGGTCAGACTTAACTGAATCGAGAAAACGCCGCGAGGGTCAAAGAGCTACCATCTTGACGCGAGAGCGGAGCTACAACCCCCAATGTAAAGCCCTCTCGCAAAATGGTGTCGGGGCCTTGCCCTGAAGGACTTTCGAGCCTTGGTCGACCCCACTGCGGGTCCCACTTGGCTCGACCCGCCCACGCTCACTCTCAGGGCGTGGGTCGTTCGTCCCAGGGGCACCCCCACCTAGTGCTATGAGATGGATGGGGTTGGGCCAAAAGGGCAAGAGAGCTTAACGTTGGGGATGTAGCTCAACCCTCTAGCCGGGTGGTAACCTCACTGGTCTAGGTCCGCAAGCGTAAGGTTTTTCAATTTTTTGTTTGTCTTACCAGACAATTGCTCCTTCCAATACTCAGGCAGTCCAGGATGGGGGTTCATTGAGAGCTTCCTCTTCTTTACAGTGCGTAGGCTAAGCGTTCTCCTTAGGCCACGCACTTCTTCACTAATAGCCCTAGTTTCCTATAGCATCATCGGGGCGGGTCATCCTTTTGCCCCTAGCCCCTATCTTTCCTCTAGTCGGCCTACGCACGCATCTCCCCAGGTCTCGTGACCGCCCTTAGTCCTTCCAGGCGGTTCTACCAAGCTCGCAACACAACCTCAACCACGCATCTCGGCAAAGTCAGGCTCAAAACCCAGCTCCGACCCTTAGTCCTTTCAGGTCGCGTTAGTCATGCAATCGTCAAAACCCAAAGTCCGCCCCGGCCGTTCGAGATTCAAACCCCCTTCTCCTCATCACGGTCCCCTGCCGCACTATCCCCTCATTGCCGGATCATCCGAACCACTTACCTGCAACAAATCCAAGGAAACATGACAATGGCATACGCCCGTCCCGATGAGGTCAACACACCGCCCCTTCATGCAAGTCCAAGTCTCCCCTTTCTTTTTCATGCCTTTGGGTGCCTTCTTTTCCTCCTCACAGCCAAACCACACTCTTCTTACTCAGGCATGCAGTCGGGGAGGTGGTTGAGTCGACTGACCTTGTCCAAAACAGCACGCCTTTTTGCTTTCACCAACGTCCTCAATAGTCTCGTATCCTTTCCTTTTTGGTGGCACAAGGGACCGGCAGCCATTCCCTTGCCCTCGCTTTCCACCAAGTGAGCACCAAGTTCCTTTCCGTTCCTTCCCTGGCAATGTAACGGTGGGTTAGTCACATGCCATGGAGGCGAAGGGGTGACGGAAGGATTTAGAGGTTAAGGAATTTTGAAGGAATGGAGGAGGATGAAAGCAGAGGGAGAGAGAGAACGTGAGAGAGAGAGAGAGAGAGAGAGAGAGAGAGAGAGAGAGAGAGAGAGAGAGAGAGAGAGAGAGAGAGAGAGAGAGAGAGAGAG